AAAAATCAGGTACACTTTATCTTGGTTAGCTATATTTTCTTTAAATCTGCTAATTTCAGATATTTTGGCTGGGTTCCGTTTAGAATATCCTCTTTTATCCTTGGAGCAAGATAATTTAATCGTAAAATACGCTGTATATGTCGTACATTAATCTCAGTACAAAGCTCCCTTGTTGTTGCGTATTTTCCTTCTTTTATTTGACGTTGCCACAGATGTGCTCTTACTAATCCTTTCAGTAGTGTATTATCTTTCTTATCATTTGCTTCGTCTTCCGGAGCCAGTATCATGCATCTACCCACGCTTTTCTTTAACTTGAGCTGCCTAAATAGAGCAATTTCTCCATTTTTTATTTCCATCCTTGTTGTACTTTCTCTTTGCTTGCCCAACAATATCTCTCCTTCTTTAAGCTGCATAGGCATACGATAGCTCCTTTAGGTCTTTTACTTTCACTCTTAGCTCTATTCCTTCCTCTCTTATCCACACTGTTTTAACCAATTGCTTTATTATCTCTTCCTGTTTTACTGGAAATAAATTCTCCCACATTTCACCCAGTTCTTTTAACTTTTTTGCCTCATTAATATCTTCAAGCGCTTGTTCAGAGTTTGCCAGTAGGTATTTTACTTCCTCTATTACATATTTTTCTACTTCCCCTGCCGCTATTGTTCGATTACTTGATTGGCAGTGCATTCCTCTTATATGATTACGGCATACATAATACCTATAGCTTTTGTTTCTCTTTCTTGTATGTGTTCCTGCCATGCTAACGTTACATGAATGGCATCTTATTACCCCTTTTAATAACATCTCTTCATACTTTTGCTCATACTTTGCTTGGCGTGTTCTTCTTATCTCTTCTACTTTATTCCATAGCTCCTCATCGATTATTCCTTCATGTTGTCCTGGGTAGCATTTTTCTTTGTATTTTACTTTTCCTATATATGTAAAATTTGTTATTATCCCTCTCACTGTTGCTTTTTTGAATTCTCCTCCTCCGTAAATCTTTCCTGATTTTACTTTTCTTTCTTTCACTCTATATCCTTGCCTGTTTATTTCTTTTGCCACTGCTGCCACTGATTTTAGCTCTATAAATCTTTCAAATATATGTTTTACTACTTTTGCCTCCTCCTCATTTATAATTAGTTTTTTTTCTTTAGCATCGTAGCCCAGCGGCACCGCGCCTCCCATCCATAATCCTCTTTCTTTCGATCCTGCGATTTTTATCCTTATGTGATCTCCTACTGCTTTCCTTTCTCGTTGTGCTATACCTAAATTTAAATATAACATGAACTCATTGTCTGTACTTTCCTCGTTTAAATAGGGTTCCATTACTGAGCTAAACCTCACTCGGTTTCTATTAAATTTATCTGATATTACTCGGATAAAATCTACTAATGATCTTGTCAGTCTATTTAACTTGAAAACTATTACATAATTAATTCTTCCCATTTCTATATCACGCAATAATTCACACAAGGCTGGCCTATCTAGATTACCTCCTGAATACCCTCCGTCATCATATCTTTTTGCTAGTAATTCCCAGCCCTCTTGTTTTTTAGTGTTGAAAAACTTTTCACACTCTGCCCTCTGTGAATCTATACTATTAAATGCTTGTTCTAACCCAGATTCATCAGATTTTCTCGTATAAATTGCACAACGAACTTCTTTTTTCATTTATTCCTTCTCCTTAAAGAATACTAAGCCATTCCAGTGACTACCTGTTATTTTGTTAGCTACTGCAGACAGTGATGTATAAGACTGACCTTTGTACACCAATCCTACTCCGGTCACTAACACTTCATGATTTTCACCTTTATATTCACGTATAAGCTTTGTTCCTGCCCTTGGTAGTTTACTATTGATAATTCTTTTTCCTTCTTCCATTTGGCTAGCTAGATCATTAAGTTTTTTAGTTGATTTACTTGATAATTCACCATATACTTTTTCCTGCAACCGATATGCTATACGTCTTATCAAATACTTTCGGCAATATGGTGGGGCTTCTGATTGAAATAGCTCTTTCCACATTTTCTTTAGCTCTGATAATTCCTTACTTGCTAATGATAATATTTCTTGTTCTACAGATTCTCTCATTTATCCCCCTTTTTTGCTTGTGGTTTATAAAACTTACTTTTCCTTTTTGTCATTAAATATACCTGAAAGGTGCTTCACTACTTTTTCCTTCCTTTTTATTCCATCCTTCATTTCTTTTATGCCGGTTATCTTCCCTGTCAACTTCGGCTCTAGTCTTAGTAATTGGACAAATGCTTCCGTAAAATGTTCTGTTGTTTCTTGTATTGAGGGCATTCCTATTCTCTTGCCAAATAGGGCTTTAAATTCCTCGTTTGCATAAACTATTGCTTTTGCTCCTAGTTCATCCCTTATTTCTGTATCTGCTCCGGCTTTCAATAATTCTTCTACTACTCCTTTTGCTGACATTGTACATGCTATATGCAACGCTGTATATCCCATAAGATTTACCTCATTTACATTTGCTCCATTTTCTATTAGTACTTCTACATTTTTTGTATACCTCATACATGCTGCTCGATATAGCGGTGTTTCTTCTCTTTCATTTTTGGCATTTACATCTGCTCCTTTTTCTATTAGTAACCTCACCGTCTTTTGATTCGCTATTCCTGCTGCTTGATGCAAAATTGTGTCTCCACTTTTTCCTTTTTCATTTATCCCTTCATATGATTTTTTCTTTAATTTCCTTAGTGCCTTCTGAAAATCATTCCTCGTTTCTTTGTTGTATCTTATTCTTTTCTGTGCCATTTTACCTCCTTTTGATAAAAATTCTAGCAGCACCTCCATTTCTTTTGTTTACTGCTATTACTTGATTATGCTATATCTATGCGAGTAAAGTAAAGTCATTATTACAATCAGAGATGGAGTATTGTCTGTTTTTTAACATGTGCTACAATATTAACTTATATAATTAATATGCTAACAAATGGGTTGTACATTATTCCAAGACCTACT